TATATCGGGTGCCCAAATCTACAGATTGGAGTCAATTCGAAACGCTCCTGATGAATAGGATTGACTATATTCCACCTTCTGTCGGAACGGTGATGGATATCCAACAGGCCAGCGAGCCGAAGCGGGGCAATAGAAAGTACCGGTGGTGGAATGAAGGACTTTCAAGGCATAGACTAAGGACCAGGAAGTTATTCAACAAGGCCAAGACGTCGGGTTCGTGAGGGGAGTATAAGGACTCACTCACGAAATGCAATAAAGAAAGTGAAAAGCGGAGGGAAGTTCATGGAGGGCGTTCTGCAAGGGCATTGATGAGCTCCCAACCAGTGCGCGTCTTCACAGGGTGCTTTTCAAAAAGTATGCTAGCGGCTTGAGCCTAATGGAACGCCCTGATGGCTCGACTACTGAGAACGGGAAGCAGAAGTTGGAGCTTATGGCCTCAACGGACTTTCCTGACTCGGAGATTCTTCGGAATCACTCGAATGTGGTCATTTAACCGAGGGCATCCTGGAGGGCATGGATGACTGGCAACGATTCCGTTTAGTCTTCACGGTGGGCAGAATTAGATGGGCTGTTTTCTCTTTTAAGCAACATATAGCTAGAACACTGTTGGAAATTTTTCGTGCCAGCTATGCGCGGGGTTACATCCCTCAGGCATGGAGGATGGCTAAAGTGAAGTATATTCCGAAGGCAGGTAAGCGACCAAGCAACCAACCAAGGTCTTTCCGTCCCATTAGCCTTTCTTCTTTCTGTTGAAAGCAATGGAAAAAGTGATTGATAGATTTATACGGGACGACGCACTGGGAAGCAATCTCTTACATGAGTTTCAGTACGCCTATCAGTTGGGAAGGTCTACTGTAAAACTCACTGGAAGTGCGGGGGTGGAAGTTGGCTGTTTCCTTGATATAGAGGGAGCTTTTGACAACGCTACATATCACGTCATCTGTGAGCCGTTGCACAAACGAGGGATTGTTGCGATGACGATCAGATGGGTGATGTTCCGGAAAGGATTATTAAGTCCACCATAGCTAACGATACACTCTTCATCTCCGCTGCAAAAAAGGTGTCCGCAGGGCGGGGTTCTTTCGCCCCTCCTGCGATCCATTGTAGTGGATGATCTAATGGCTGCTCTTGGGGGCTCCGGGGCTCGTGTCTGGGGTTACGCCCCAGACACGAGCCCCGGGCGTAACCCCAGACACGAGCGATGTGGCCTTCGTCATACGGGGCAAATTTGAGAGCACTATTGGTAAATTCTTAAACGTGAAATTTTACAAAATCTGAGTTGTCTGAGTTTACGAATACTCTACTGTGTTTTTACTTTCAGTCAAAGTTTAAATTTTTAAACGTTTAAAAAAAGTCAATTAAGCATCAAAATTGTAGATTTTTGTTTTTAAATGCAGACAGTCTGACGTAGTAATTCAGTAAATAAATTTGATGTATTTAGTGACTATCATTACGTTAAAAATAATATAAACAAGTAAAAACGTTTCACTCGGTATAAACCGATTGAGTTATACCCTGCACCTTTCGTTATTGTATAGCAATTACTCCAACCTGTGAAATCAGTCTATAGAAACTTCACGGATATATCTGACCTATAATTGGACATCCGACTGCCAAGTTTCATGAATCTGACTTTATAATTTTTCCAAATATTTATAATTAGCTTTTGGAGTTGTATGGCACGTACCTGAACCTGTCAAGCGATTCCATCAAAATTTCACAAATATATCTGATCTATAATCGGACACACAACTGCCAAGTTTCATGAATCTAACTTTATTATTTTTCCAAATATTAAGAATAAACTTTTAGACTTGTATGGGAGCTACTCGAACCTGTCAAGCAATTCCACTAAAACTTCAGAAATATATCTGACCTATAACTCGACACACAACTGCGAAGTTTCATGAATCTGACTTTATAATTTTTCCAAATATTCAAAATTAGCTTTTGGAGTTGTATGGCACGTACCCGAACCTGTCAAGCAATTCCTCTAAAACTTCAGAAATATATTTGACCTATAATTGGACAGATGACTGCCAAGTTTCATGAATTTATTGACTTTATTATTTTTCCGAATATAAAAAATTTGCTGTTGGAATTGTATGGCAGCCACCCGAACCGGTGCAGCTATCCCATTATAATTTTTAGAGCATGTGTAGAATATAATTGGACACATGTATACAAAATTTTATATTTGTAGCTTTATTAGTTTTTGAAATATTTAAAATAAACTCTTTGAGTTGTATGGCAGCTACCCGAACCCGTTGTCCGAATTAGTCCAATAACAATAGGGCTCGTCCTTGGCACAAAAGAAAAAACTTGTGAAAGTTTGGTGTCGATTGCATTATTCGTTTTTGAGTTATCGTGCGATCGGACGGACGGACGGACGGACAGACGGACATGTCTAAATCGACGCAGAATTTGACGCTGAGCAAGAATATGTCCATACCGCAGATGACTCCTTCAAGTAGTTACAAACTCCATACCAAAGTTAATATACCCTTCACGAAGTGCAGGGTATAAAAATATTTTTTTTGTTAATTTTTAATATGTAAGTATAAAATTATTTTAAATCTAGAAAAAATTTTTTTTTGTTTTGGCGTTCACGGATGATCAAAATTCAAAGTCAATTACGGGTAAAAAGTTTACTACATTTCTGTCCGTAAAAGTCTTATACGTCGGACAGTTTGCAGACTGAAAACAAAATTTTAGAGAGGTGAAGTATCCGGGTGTAACCCTGGATGATCGTCTCTCCTGGAATACCCATATACATCGAATTATCGGGTGGGCTACGACGGCCTTGTTTATGTGTAGGAGCTTTATGTGTAGGGACCTGGGGGATCAATGCCTTAAAAGTTAGCAGGCGGATGTACGGGCTGGAAAAGCTGCGGAGGTTGGCCTGCCTGGGAGTCACCGGAGCAATGCCACTACACCTCCATATAATGAAGGAAGCTCGGTTAATGATTCTCTCTGGCGAGGACAAGGCGGGCCGAAAGTTGGCCCACAGGATTCACAGAAACTTCATTTGGGTGCCAGGCCACGGTGGCCATGCAGGCAACGAGGCTGCCCATGGGCTAGTGCGGATGGGATCTGGTCTGCCTTTGTGCAGCCGCTGCCCTTCTATGGTTTGCCTTCTTCCACCGTGAGGGCCAGGCTTGCCTGACTGCTGGCGGCGAAATGCGGACTTCACTGGCGGGGCACGAAAGGGTGCCGCCATGTGAGGGTGTTTCTTTCGGCGTACTCCAACGGACTCACCTCAGAGTTGCTGCGAATGTATTAGTTTTTAAATAAAACAAATTAAATGCTTATTCTAAGACTGGTTTATTATTACTGGTTTTAATATTTAATATAAAAATATATGCATATGTTCTACATACAGTACCATTGAATATGAAGTACAGCAATGCTATTTAATATAAGGTGTGGTTCACACTATTAAACAGTAGGGGTGTTTTACATATAATTCATTAACATAATACATCTCCCCTCTTTTAGCACTTTTCCAAAAAATTTTTTGAAAAAAGTGCTTATTAGTTTCATTCTGTCCGTCCGTCCGTCAGTCCGTCCGTCCGTCCGTCCGTCTGTCCGTGTGTCTGTTTACAAAACTTCTACATTCTTAAAGATAGAAAGCTGAAATTTAATACGTACATAGATCTTTACTAGAAACTTATTTTCGTAGAACAAAATTTTTACCTATCTCCCCCCCTCTAGAAGTTATACCCCCCCAAAGCACTAAAAATAGCCTATTTTAACTATTTGTTGCAATGAAACCATAAGCATTTTTGAAATTTTGCAAACGCAGAAAGGCAGTAGCTTGCTTCCCCTAGCGCGGTATACTATAGTTAAACTTTAGAAAAACAAAATGGCCGTTCAAATTTACCGTTATCTAAAGTCCTTTTTTTCCAAATTTTTGATCTCGTTTTTCTTCTAGACCCTAGCCTGTAGAAGCTTGAAATTAAATTAGGGGCTTTAGACATTAACAAATACTTTATTTCGTTAGAAGAAAATTTTCCATCTCCACCCGATCTCAAGCTATCGCCTCTTGAAATTTGTAAAATTTGAATTTTTGACACCTTATATTTCCGAAACCGCAAGCTTTTTCAAATTTCTATAAACACAAAAACCTAACGGTAAATTCCATGACATTAAAAAATATAATTATTTTTCTTAACTCACACAATTAACCCTTAAAATCGAGCATTATGTTAACCCCTGCTTATATTAATTTTTGCTTTATTTCAAAGACTGCATAAATCGTTCATCCTAAACATATGCAATCCTAGAAATAGTTTTGTATATGAATGAAAATAATTTTAATAGTGTGATAGGTATACATACTCGTAGACTGTATTTAAAAGCAGAATTTTCACTTGTTGAAGGGAAAAGTGCTACAATACAAACCATTGGTTTGACCCAACTTTATTAAATTTAAATTTATATTTAAAAATACTAAATTTTATTTTAAAATAAATTTCAATTTCAAAACTTTGTATATTTATAATAAATTTCAAATTCAAAACTATACATAATAAATTTTAATTTATTGATTATATCTTTTAATCCAATTTATTTATTATAAAAAATTATCAAAAATATGTAACTAAGTTGGTATTCAAATTTTAATTTCAGTTTCTGTTACTTTTCATTAAAGATTATTTTGGGATAGAAATTCATTAGATATAAAACTATTTATTCATCGAAATAACCTGCATCATACATATATGTATTTTATTTAATTTATCAAAATTCAATGTGATTCAAAATTATACATTTTAATTGTTACGTTTTCTTATAAAATTCGAATTTCTTCTAAAAACTTTATCATAAAATTGAATCCAATATGAACGTGGTGATTTATCTTTGCTTTTTATTGTAGCAGGTACCCATTCATTTTATTTCTTTTATTATTATTATCGATTGTTTTAATAACTTTATTATTTTTATTATTATAATTCTTACAAAAAATTTGTTTACCAGGTAGCAAAGTTCTGGTTTTTCTACCTTTTAGAAATACCTACCATTTTTCCAGCAAATCCATTCGATTTTGGGTACAATGGACTGCTCGTGATAATTTTAAAATCATACTTCTTTGCAAAATCCTTAAACAAGTATGAATTGAAAGGCATATTATCTGCTATTACAATATTGGGATACCGTGATATGAAAACACTACCTTTAATTTCTCAACAATAGTTCTAGCTGTTTTATTATACAATGGTATAATATCTAAGTATTTTGAATAGTAGTCTCCTATAATTAAAAACGACTTAGCATTTAATTCCATAATATCTAATCCTATTTTACTAAATGGCATTTCAGGTATATCATGACTGATTAAAGGCTCCCTGGGTTCCGAATATTTATATTTTTCACAAATGTTGCATTTATGAATTAACTCCTCAATTTCTAAATTCATGGTTGGCCAATATACAATAGATCTAGCTCTACTTTTAGTTTTTTCAACACCCAGATGTGGTAAATGTAATTGATATAATACGTCGTCTCTTAAAGATTTGGGTACAAAAATACGGTCGTTCAAAAATATTAATCCATCAACTACAAAAAGATCATTTCTTTTTTTCCAAAAAGGTTTCAGCTTTTCACATAATAATTCTTTTCTTACAGGCCAACCATCATTAATTGTTTTAAATAAATCCTTTAAATCATTTAAAGTCTCATCCTGAAAATTTTTTTTCTTTTCATCACTTACATTTATTGTGTGTATCATATCAGACAGACCATTCATTTCTTCACATTCTTGCTTTTCCATTTTAAAATTTCTTGATAAAAAATCGGCTATAAACATATATTTGCCTGTTAAGTTTGAGCCTTTGCAATCTAGGGGAAGGTATGCTATAATATTTTTTCGCCATAATTCCTAATAATGGTTTATGGTCCGTAATGATCTCAATTTTTCTACCATAAAAATAATTGTGAAACTTTTTACATGCATAAACTATCACCAGAAATTCCATATCGATTTGGGGATAATTAATTTCAGTTTCAGTCATGCTTCTGGATGCAAAACAAACTGGTCTTCCTTTTTGCATTAGACATGCACCCAGTCCACTCCTCGATGCATCAGTCTGAATGGAAATAGGTTCAGTAAAATCAAAATGTTTCAAAGTAAGCGAATCTTTAATTAATAAATTTATTCTATTTAAACATTCAATTTCAGTTTTATCCCATCTAAATAAAACACCATTCTTTAAAAGAGCTCTAAGGGGTGCTGATACTTCAGCCAAGTTAGATATAAAACTACTCATATAATTAATAAACCCCATTAATTCCTGTAAGTCCTTTTTATTTTTTGGATTTTCTAAATTTTCAATTGCTTGCATCCTATTCATATCACAAGCTACCCCACATTCATTTATTTTATGCCCAAGAAAGTAAATTTCATTTTTTTTATATCGTAACTTATCTTTGTTAAATTTAACATTAAGTCCTCTAGCTCTGTCCATTACTAATTTAACAGTTTCATCATGTTCCCTTTCATTACTTGCAGCTATACAAAGGTCATCAATATAAACGATTATATTTTGAATGTCGCCAAAATTCTGTTCATTCAATTTTTGGAATGCCTCAGGTGCAATTTTTAATTCAAAAGGCAGTCTAGTAAACCTATAAAGCCCAAATGGAGTACTAAAAGTACATAATGACTTAGAATATTCATTTAATTCAATTTGGTAGAAACCTTCTCTGCAATCAAAGACCGAAAATAATTTTTTATTACAAAATTTCAATTTAATATCTTCAAATGAAGGAATTTCATAATACCTTTCCTTAATATTTTTATTAAGATTCTGAGGATCCTAACATAATCTAATTTTACCATTAGGTTTTTCAATTATAACGAGATTTGAAACCCAATCAGATGAAACCGTGCACATCCTTTGCGACTGTTCGGCGCCGGAAATTGTCTTGGACATGGCTTCCGAAGTGTTCGGGAACTTCTGTCCAACTCCCTTGGGGATATCTCCGGCTTTATAGTTGGGACGGGGATATTATAGGCGGGAGCGTGGGGAAGCTACAATAAGTCAGAAATGGCTGCGGTGGCTCGGGAAGTTCCTCCTGCCCCACTCGGTTCCCTTGAAAATCTAATCTAATCTAATCTATTATTTATGTTTTTAATGTTATCATTAAATTTTGGTAATAAAAAGTTATGTTTAAATTCAGTTTCTTTGTTTTTATTGCAAAATAATTAATCTTTACAGAACAATTATTAAATTTAATTAAATAATTTCTCCTCAAGAGAAATGATCTTTCATCACAATTACTTGAAAAAATGCATTATTTATTTTTTTGCAATTACTAAACCTCCATGAATTTCTAATATTTCTGATCCAACGTTAAACGATTTATTGTAATTTCTTTTAACCAGGCAATGGCTTTATAGTTTTAAATTTTTCGGAGCTGTATTTTTTGTATAAGTAAAAATTTTGTTATTGAATTTTGTAATATTTTTAAGAATTAATTTTAAATCTCTATTTGTATTATCGGTCATTGGTAATAGTAGTGAAACTGTTAGGTCCATAAATAAATTCTTTTGGAAAGCTTATAGGGAAAATTAAGTTGTTTTTGTCATCTCTTAAAGTTCCTAAGTTTATGTTTTGGAACTTATCAAAGTCAATGTCGTATTCAATAATTTCCTCATTTGATAGTATACCACTGTATATTGCATCTGATTTGATTGATGAAATATTATCTTCTAGGTTTTCTATACTGTCTTGTTAAATTTTCAGTTTTAAAGTATAGTCTGTGTATAGAGTTTGTATAAATAACTCTGCGTCATGCTCTCTAATCATATTGAATTTTTCTTGAAATTATGTCTCTGTTTTTTTAAATAGCTTCCTTAAGTATTGCAAAAGATTCATCAAAATTTTGTTTAATGTTTACTTGTTTATTTATGTTTGTTATTGCTATATGATTATTTTGTGTTATGACGTTTAGATGATTTTCGGCTTCTAATCTGTTGGTATTGTCCATTGTCCCATAAAGCCACTTATATACTGTGCTTACAAAATTAATTAAACCTCGTTTTTAACCTTGTGGAATTAATGCTTGTATTTTTGTAGGGATTGTTAATATTTGAAATTGTAGGGTATTTTCTTTTTCAACTAAATCAGCAAGTTTTATATTTGTTTCTACAGTGTCTAAGGTATCTAATATTTAATTGGTTGGTCAGAAATTTTATTTGTATGAATCTGTTCTGCGCTAAGATATCCTTGGCAGTAGCTTAGTATCATGGTCAGCAGTAACATTTTGAATATCAATTTTACCTGAAAATTTAGTTTTTCGTTTAATATTAGAGGAATATTATATAATTTAAATGTATCTAGGCTGTTTGTTATGTCTAATACTTTTATAATTTTTTAAATAGCCTTCTATAATCTTGGTAGGTTTCTCTTTTTACATTATTTTTATTTAGAGATCTAGTTTTTTCCTTATCTTCCTGAATATTTATTGGTTTTTCTTTGCTCGTAGAATGATAACAAATATCATACCATTCCATAGGTTTAGAATTTTTTTCTTTAATACTAAGGTCTTTGTTTTCCATTCCTAACATTCTAATTTTCTCACTAAAAGTAATATGTAATCGTTCGATGTCAAAATTACCTGCATGTAAATTCGGTTTGATTGAATAAAGCTCATTATTTTCATTTCTTAAAGAGTCTTTTATATTTATACTACAAAATTCGTTATCTAATTTTTTAAAATGTTCTCTTTGTGTTTTATAATCTCTGAGCATTTCAATTATTATTTGATTGTGTCTATTCTCGAGATGAATACAATAAAGTAAGCTGTTGCAAAGTCGGAAAATTTATCTAAGAAAATTAGAAATTTGATTTGGAATTAGTATATTCATCCATATGTACAATTTATATAATATCTTCTGGAGTTTCAATGAAATTATATTTTTCTTTTATTGGATTCCTATGGTGTATTGATGGTCAGGTAAATCAGCATAAATTTCTGTTTTACCTGGTTTTATATATCTCCTTAAAATGTCGGATAAATTATTTTATAAATCTTAAGAGCTTATAAATATATACTTAATTTTATATACTTTTCTATTGTTGTGTATAGTTTCTGTTCTTTTAATTTTTTATCTGTCAACATAATTTGTATCTTAAATGTGTTTACACCTGTCTCCAGTATTGGTATGTGGTCATTAAGGTCCTCTTTTTGAGAATGTACTGTTTTGCTCTCATCAAAGTTGTTATGTAATGAATTTGAGTCTCCGTCACCTCCGTTTTTGGGTTAATCGGTTATTTGGGTTATTCTGCTGGGAAAATCAGCTACCTTATTTTCCTTACCTTTTTGTGTAATCAATATTTATATTATATTCTCCTAGTTTAAGTAACCAACATAAAGCCTTGGATTCACGTCTTTACTCTGTATTTTAGAATGTAACCATTTTAATGGCTTATGGTCAGTCAATAAGTCAAATTTAACACCACAAAGGTGACGTTTCAATTAATTAGTCGACCACGCAATAGCTAATAGTTCTTTTTCAGTTGCTGAACATTTTATTTCCTATTAATTTAAGGTTCAACTAGCAAAACACACTGGGTGGTTGTCCTGCTGGTCAACCGTCACTTCATTAAGCTCATGGTACTTGATAACGACTCTCCATTTCTTCTCTCCCGAATTGTTAGTCTTTTTAGATACAATCCACACAGGAATATTACAAGGCGAATTACTTTACTTTACAATTCAATGCCTGAGCATATCAGATATTTGTTTCAATATCTCCTCTTCATGAATATGTGGGTACCTAAATGTTTTAGAATATATTGGCCTATCCAAATTGGTTATAATTTAATGTTAAACATGTAGTAGTGCTAATTGAGTTATTACCTTCTTTAAAGGAGAGGCGTTCCCGTAGTTGTGCAGCAACTTGTTTAAATGATTTTTTTCTTAGAATTTAAAGATTCAGTTAGAGTTTCAAAATCGCCATTACTTATACCACTATAATCTAATTAGCATATCTCAATTAAAGTATATAGACGACTAGTTAAAAAATTTATTTTATTATTATTTATTTGTAGCAACTCATTTTCCATATTAATAACTGCCCCTAGAAGTTGAAGGAGGTTTTGGCTATAATACCGTTAAAAGTTTTATTGTCAAATTTAGTTAGTTTCCATACCATGTCAGTATCTTCTTTAAATTCTAAAGGCAAACTTGTTTATGTTACCTTTTTATTGTAAATAATTCGGTTTATAGTGTTGAATTTAATTGTTTTTTTAGTATTGATTCGTTTATATTCAGGAAGTTTATTCTAATTTGCGAAGGTAGTTAAAGAACCAGTGTATAGGGTATCTAAGTTTTTCATCTACTATTGTTAGTTCTACTATCCGCAAATCCGTTTTTGGCGAGCTGTAAGAAAATTCATTTCACCCTGAACATGATCGATTTCAATTGGTTCCTGGGGATTATTCCCAGCTCCATAATTACTGTTATTGTTAATTCTTGTCCAGAATTATTATTGTAGCTGTTACTGTAAATTATTGTAATTTAGTCTAGATCGTCCAGAGTTATTTGAGCAATTGGTGTCTAATATTATTTTGAGAATTAAAATGACAGAAATTATGGTATATATCTAAATTTTTATTAGTATCCTTTTTGTATTATAATTAAAATTACTTCTATTACTGAAGCCGATGCCATTGTTATTGTCATTTTTTTCACGAATTAGATTAAAATTAATTTGAATATTATTATAGTTGAATATTATTTAGAAAGGTTTTTAAAATTATAGATTCTTAACATTCTGTATTATAAAAACATTAAAAAATTTATTTAAAAAAACCTTCCAAACTTTGTTAATTTTTTAAAAACTTTGTTAAAATGCTGCACTACAGGCAAATTTTTTTATTGTGAATTTTTATTGTGCGCGTTTTTAGCACTTTTCCAAAAATTTTTTGAAAAAAAGTGCTTATTAGTTTCACTCTGTCCTTTTTTTCCAAATTTTTGATGTCGTTTTTCTTCTAGACCCCAGCCTGTAAAAGCTTGAAATTTTAAGGGCTTTTAGACATTAACAAGTGGTTCATTTCGTTAGAAGACAATTTTTTTCCATCTCCACCCCCTCTCAAGTTATCGCCTCTTGAAATTTCTAAAATTTGCATTTTTGACACCTTATATTTCTGAAACCGCAAGCTTTTTTAAATTTCTATAAACGCAAAAAGTTAACGGTAAATTCCATGACATTAAAAAATATAATTATTTTTCTTAACTCACACAATTAACCCTTAAAATCGAGCATTATGTTAACCCCTGTTTATATTAATTTTTGCTTTATTTCAAAGACTGCATAAATGGTTCATCCTAAATATATGCAATCCTAGAAATAGTTTCGTTTATAAATGAAAATAAATTTTAATAGTGTGGTGGATGTACATAGACTATTTTTAAAAGCAGTATTTTCACTTGTTGAAGGGAAAAGTGCTACAATACAAACCATTGGTTTGACCCAACTTTATTTTATAGTGGTATCCCCAGTAGGCCTAATCCACTCATTTACCTAAAATTAAAGCATATATAACCTACTCTTTTTAAATTTCCGAATTTAAAGCTTCATTAAGTTAATTGGTATCAGAACTATAAGCGTACAAAAAAGGTAATAATTTTTTTAGTTGAGTCCAATAACCAAGTTTCATATCTCCTGAGAAAATATTTTCTAATTTAATGGCTGGTATTTCACTATTTCCCGAAAAGCAACTTACTGTTAAATCACAATTAATTTTTATTTTACATTTAAACTCACACCCGAAGTTACATTATTTTCTAAAATATATAATACAATGCAGGAACTATGTTTAAATACTAACCAGCCATCTAACACAATATTTTTATTGATTTTGTTTACTAAATCATTAAAATTTATTACTGTGTCGTCGCAATTTTCTATGGTTACCGGACAATTGGGGAAAATAGTTGGAATCGCTTCTGGAATTAATCGAAGTCTTCTATGCGTTTTTGGATAAAAACATGTTTTTTTAAAATGTAAATGGCAAACACCACTACTCTCAGCAGGTTTCCAATTTTTTTTAGGAATAGCCTCAATCCATGCCTTCCCACAAATCTCCTCGTTAGGAAACTTAAAGACTAGAACATTTTTCTTTATTATATTTTTATTATGCTAATTTTTATAATTGGATGGACATCCAGGAACCGCGCATTTGCGAACGATAATGATATGAATATATTAAAAAGCACAATAATGATAAAGCTTAAAATCTAATGTATAATTTTTTTTTAATTTATTTTAAAATAAACAAAATAAAAATTTTACATCAAAACTTTATTTATTTCTTATTAATATGCACAGCACAATTTTTTTTTTTATTCACTGTATGAAAAATATGAATTTTTACCTTCGTAAAAATTCTGAAACGCTTCTTTTTTACTTTAAAAATTCTTGTAGAAAGTTGATTTTTTCACAGGTTCAAAATACAAACTTTAAATTTTCCTTTAATATATTTAGATATAAATTTCTAATATATTTTTTTTCTATTAAAAATTTTTATATTTTTAATGAAAATAACAGCACAAAAACTCGATTTAAAAATTAAAAATCTTATTTTTTCTTCACTACTTTCTATTGAAATATTAAAACAACAAACTGATTTTAACTCTCAATTCTCTCCCATATACTGTTTAAGATCTTAAAATTGTGGCTGCTCAAAAAAATGCGGGAAAACTTGAAAATATATTTAATCAAAATTATAGCTAAAATTTTGAGTTGAAATTTGAATTTTTGATATGTTGTTCAGAAAACTATAAATTTCAATTTAGTATAAAAATTTTTAGGTTTTAGTCAACTTTTCGTTTTGAAAACTCGAAATGAAAATAGGGAAAAATCATCAGTTTTCAAAAGAACAAAAAAAAATTATTCTTCAGAAGTGTCATTACGCCAAAAATATATATGAAATGTTACCAATACCTTCACAAAAAAAGCAGGGTCTAGGCCTTGATTTTTT